AATTTTTACATTTTAATTTGCACCAAAAAACAAAAAAAAAATAATTCACATTTTAATTTACTTTATTTTAATAAATTAAAAAGAAAATAAAAAAAAAAAAGCTCATTTCAAATCTCCGTCTAAAAGAACTGCGTCTTTTTCAAAAGGCCAAAAAGGTCCAAGACTTTTCTTTATTGATGATTTGGTAAATCTTGACTTGGATATTTGCCGTAACAATCCGTACAATATAATTAACAATATTATGTATTGTACTGTCACGATTTATATATAACTTTGAAAATACATGCACTAGAACCGCTCACCTGCCCACGGCCACTTTGTTTTACATGAAAAACGTATTCTGAGAATACGTTTTTCATGTAAAACAAAGTGGTGGGCACTGCCCACCGTGAGCAGGGGAGCGGAATTTATACATGCACACCCTGTAGTGGCTCATTTTCACCTAACAAATACTTGAAAATGTGTTTTTTTTTCTTTATTTTTTACAACGGCTAAAAATGGAAAACATAAGGGCTTGATTGTTTATGAGTTAATTTACTCACTTTTATTTCAATTCAAAATTTAACTCAACTTTAACTCAACCCCACTATCTTTAATATTATTCATATAATTAAATAATACAAACCAATCATTCTTATACATCACATCAACTGTAATTCACTATTCATCCACTCACATAATTTTAACTATCTATCATTTTCAATCATTTCCAATCATTTATCTCTTACTTTTACATCAAATCAATTTTAATCATTTTATTTTAAATATTATTTTAATACATTCTTAAAATTCCACTAACAACTAACCATACCACCTTTTTCAAAATTTACCATGGTTAACCAAAATAACTCATTTTGAACAAATTATTTCATAAACAATCAAGCCCTAAGTAGATGAAAAGCTATAGGGCAAATTGGGATAAGAATAGGGGAGGAAAAAAAGGGTATTGCAGTAAATCGAAGATATATTCAAAGAAATGAAATCAAGGTTGGATTTTCTTGGCTCAAAAATCTTGGCCTGAGATGGAGAGCAAGGCCAAAATAATTTTCTGTGAACACAAATAACAGAAAAGGGGGAGCATTGTCAATCTACCTCATGTATGAGATGGTGCTAAAACGTGCACGTCAAAAGGCAAGCAGAAACTACCACTTCAAGCCGATACATTTTTGTCTTCAGATGAATTTCGCTTCATTTTGTAATGTGTTTACTCAACAAATGTACATGAAGAATGCATAAGGGAATCGAGGCTCTTTGAAGATCGAACTATTTAGCATTGTTCTTCATGTCCGTGAATCATGAAAATAACAGACAAAAAATAATACATTTTGTAATTGGATTAACCTTGATGGCAGCCTTACAATGCCCCCAGGCTACAACTAACTCTGTCGTAATGCAAAGAATTAACAAAATGAATGAAGAAATCCATAACCCTCATGCTTTAACAATACACTTTCAAGTATTCTTCTTTTTTTTTTTTTAACATTTTCAGCTATAATTACTTGTAAAAACTCATGCTGTGTAAAGATTAGATTTCACATACCTAGACAAAAACTTTTAAGAAGCCGTCGAATTTGCTATCTTCCAGAGAGCTTGCTTTGCCAAATACAAGCTATTGCTTACTGAGGTGGCATCTTTTTGTACATTCCCCTGTTCTTCTCCTGCACTTGGCTCGTAAATACAAATTATCCAAACAAATCCAAGTTTTTTGGACCATTTTCACTTATATCAAAGTTGA